CATGGGGGGACACTGTGCAGGGGGGAGAGCATGGGGGGACACTGTGCAGGGGGGAGAGCATGGGGGGACACTGTGCAGGGGGGAGAGCATGGGGGGAGACACTGTGCAGGGGGGAGAGTATAGACACTACAAGGGGAGAGGACAGTGGAGATTTGATATTCTAGAGGGGGAGAGCATGGATGAGAGGGGGGCTATAGATACGTTACTGGCAGCGAGTAAATAGGAGAGATTATTGATGCTTTACGGACAGAGTATGTAGGGGAGGGGAGATTATATATAGGTGCTTTACAGAAAGACAGAATTGAGGGGAGATTATAGGTGCTTTTCAGGGTCACTTTGGGGAGAGGGGATATTGCATATATTGTACATATGGAGAATATGGAAGTGCAATTGTATATGCTTTATTGGGAGAGAGCATGGAGGGTTATAAGGGGTGAGTATTTAGGAGAGGGGAATTTATATATGCTTTACAGTCTTCGGTTGGGTTGACAGATCCAGAGAATTTTACTGGACACACATCACTTAAAAGTACCACCTTGTAAATTAAAAAGAGTCCAGATCCCGGACACATTGATCCTTTCTCGTCCCATGTGCGGGACGGACAGTAATTCATTTTTGTGTTTTCATACTTGGGTGGGATAGGCACGGGCTTCTTTGTGGAGTAGATAGGTTGCCAGATAGCTACCCAATTGGAGAGTGGAGCAGCCACTGTTGTCTTGCTAGATTACAAGTTACAGGATGCCTTTGGCGTTCTCTTATGTGGATATGCATGCTATATTGCTTCATGCTGGACATTGGAGTTAGTCTGGCCGAAACTCCTAACTTCACCAGAGCAGATTAGGTAGTCTGTACACAGCTGTGGAATGCAATGTAAAGTTATGTGTACCAACACAGGTATGCCTTAAAGAAACATTTTAATGTTAGGAATACAAAGACAGGGGGCATGGGAATTTTTTTTAACTTGCCTACATGTGTAACATGCGACTACAATCTTCTTACATAAGGTCTTCTTCAGCTCCTGGCTTTTCATCCGTCAGAAGCCGACTTCAATGCTGTACTCTCGTGCATGCGCAACAGCACTACACTGACGTGTATGGAGGAGACCGTGGGATTTTAACGCCCATTTCATAAAGATTTTCTTTACCAAATGCTTGTTCTGGGGTCTAGTGATAGAGCCATTTTAAAAGGAAACTGTAGGCACTGTAACTGTTTCATCTTATTGAAGTGATTATACTTTTAGAAGTCCCCTGGACTTTCCATGCAGTGTTTATTTTTTGTTGTTGTCAATCTTTGGGGTTTTTTTTTTTTTTTTTTTTGAAGCAATGTGAATACTTTACAGAAAGGAAGAAAAAGAGAGATATGTGTCAGCATAAATGTACATATATACAGTAAACAATAACATCGATGCATTCTCTGAGTGTCTGCTTCATTTTATGTTTTTAAAGGATGTAGTATAAACTTGCGAAAAACACAATAAATCAGGCTAGATAATAGTGAGCTTACTACATTAACTGATACAAACATAAAAACTAGGTGTTGCAGGCTAGAAATGTTTTAGTGCGATATACTCGCTTAACCCCTTAAGGACACATGACGTGTGACATGTCATGATTCCCTTTTATTCCAGAAGTTTGGTCCTTAAGGGGTTAAAGGGACGCTCCAGGCACCCAGACCACTTCTGCCTATTGGAGTGGTTTGGGTGCCAACTCCCACTACCCTTAACCCTGCAGGTGTAATTATTGCGTTTTTTATAAACTGCAATAATTACCTTGCAGGGTTAAGTTCTCCTCTAGTGGCTGTCTATCAGACAGCCACTAGAGGGACTTCTGTGTTCTTAGAAAACAAAAAGTGTTTTAAGCGACGCTGGACGTCCTCGCGCTATGTGAGGACCTCCAGCGTCGCTGAACTCCCCATAGAACGCTTTCCTATGGGGAGGTCTAATGCACGTGCGCGGCCATTGCACATTAGGTCTCCTCCGGCAGGGGTGGAGAGTAGGCGGAGCCTGATCCAGCGCCGAGGGATATCGCTGCTGGACTCTGGTAAGTCGCTGAAGGTGTTTTAACCCCTTCAGCAACTTGGGTGGGAGGGAGAGGGGTAATATTTTTTCCTGGCACTGGAGAGTCCATTTAAACTTCACGCTAAAGGCAGGTGAGAAAATAAGGCATACTGACACTAGTATAAGGAGGTGCGAACTAGGTATCGCACTGTTTAGACAGCTCCTAGACATTTCTGCCTTATTTGTGTTAATAAGTAAGATATAAACATGCTAATTTTCGATGTTGAAAAATATACAATTACCCTACACGGCATAACAATAGGTACATGAACTGACACGGAAGTATGTAGTTTGTATGCTTATTTGGTACATGGCAATGGGGGATGAATGCGTACAAGGACACTGCACCCTTTTAGTCTAGTGTGGGTAAGAGAGTATGCCAGTATGTGCTGCCTGTTGGTATATGACCTGGTTAGGTGTTGGCTGGTGTACCCTGAGAGCTGTGTATGAGGTGTTAACCTAGTCTATGGTAATGCTTATTTTTCACAGGACTAAGAAACCTGAGACAGTCAGCGCTAGTTAAGTGCAGTGTCAGATTTAAAGCTAGATATGTTGAGAATACCGGGGCATAGAACTTCCCCACAAGCTGCATTAGCGGCTTGTGGGGAACCCTGGCAGCGTAATCGACTTGTTCTCACGTTGTGTGTACATGTGTGGGCTATGTCGAAACCAGATGTTAAAATTTAGATGCAGGATTGTGTCTGTATTTTGTGCAATTGTCAGGTAGTCTCTAGTCCCGGATCCAAAGAGTCAGCTTTATAGGTAAGATAGTGATGCAGTGGGAAATAGTTCTCATACAATTCGGGTGTAGTCCCCAAGTTGCCTAAAGCACACATTTGGGAGCGTTGGTTGGGGGTGTTCCGGGAGCCTTGAATGGCCACTGAGGGATGGTACGTTGCGGGTGTGGGGTGACCGCTCTTCTGATGAAGGCCAGCACCATTAGTCCACAGACTTGGTACCTTGGGGAGGCCGGGTTTTCCCTTTGTCGGGTGCCTTTGTAGGCGCAAATGTTCTGCTGCCGTCTGCAGTGGTCGGGCCTCCTGCCATGTGGTCAGTATCGCAGAGACTGTCTCCATTTGGTCTTTGGCCCAGGTCGGCTTACAGGACAATTAGTAGTAGCGGTTAGGCGCAGTGTACCTGAGGGAGGCCCCCTCTACCTCCGGTCCCCCCCAACCGTTCCACCTCTTCCTCCGGTTCAGGTTGTGCTTGCCTGATGCGGTTCTCTAGTCGCTCCCAAAATCGGTTAAAGATTTTGTCCAGTTGCATAAAATAGTGTGCCGTCGGCTCCTGAATCTGGCCTCCAGGCTGTGCTTGAGTAGGTGAGGTTCGTTGGGTTGCGTCTGTCCCTTACCTCCAAAAAGCGCTCTCATGGTGGGTTGCAAAGTGGTTTAAAACACCGGACCAAGTTGTCCGGGCAACCGCAAGGTCACCTCATACCAAAAACAGTTTCATAACATCCGTGGCTAAGTACCGCTGAGGTGACCGGGAACCATGAATTCCTGATGCCGAAATTAGTGCAATAGTGGTCGCGACTAAGTACTGCTGAGCACCATTCATGGGTTTGTTCATGCGAAGAGCCGCTAAGGAGCTATCGTTCGGTTCCATTCGAATGAAGAGAAAGTGCTGAACCAGCACAGAGGGAAAGCTGCTAATGGCGGCTGGCAGGGTAACTCCCGAACGGGGTCTCTGACCTGGACCATAGCCGGTGGGCAGGAGGCCAGCTTCCACACTCCTCTAGGAATTTGTGGCAAACGTTCATGTGAAGAAGCGTTTGTCACAATGGGGTATCTCCTTTCTCCACCAATAGTGTACAACAAATTAATAATAAATAAACCCATAACTCCACAAAATAAACATGTAAATTAGATCTCACAGCCCTACGTGTTTCGTTCAGTTTGCTTGTAACTGCTTTAGAGGAAGTCCGTTTATGTCTCTGTTAGGAAAGCAGCATTTTTTCAGATTTGCAGTCTGTCGGCATTAAAATCCACTGGGTACTTCCATGGGCCACCATCAACCAATCTGCTTGAGTCTGTTTGCCTGTAAGTGATTTCCTCTGTTGCAATTCATTTTTGCATCGCATTGTCATTCACCGTGCATTTCAACATTGGTTCGCACCTTTATTTCAGCTTTCCATTTGCATGCCACCGAGTCAGAACCCTTAAAACTAAAGTCCTTCAGAAATGCAAAAATAACATGATCCCTATCATGTTATTGAGATGAGAATAAACCAATCTTAAAAATAAATATAAAAACTAATTTCAGAAACCCTATATATAAAAACGGGGGGTGCTAGAGTTCAAGTATCATAAGAAATTTTCAAAAATAAGTTCCAAAAGTTGCCAAAAATGTAAACTAAAAGTTATACCCATCCACGACCCGTTTTCAATGCACTGGCTGAGGGAAGAAGGTTCTCACCCAAGATTTCACGGTACATGGCCCCGTCCATCGTCCCTTTGATGCGGTGCAGTTGTTCTGTCCCCTTAGCAGAAAAACACCCCCAAAGCATAATGGATCCACCTCCATGTTTGACGGTGGGGATGGTGTTCTTGGGGTCATAGGCAGCATTCCTTCTCCTCCAAACACAGTGAGTTGATGCAAAAGAGCTTGATTTTGGTCTCATCTGACCACAGCACTTTTTCAACCAGTTCTCCTCTGAATCATTCAGATGTTCATTGGCAAACTTCAGACGGGCCTGTACGTTTGCTTTCTTGAGCAGGGGGACCTTGCGGGTGCTGCAGGATTTCAGTCCTTCATGGCATAGTGTGTTACCAATTGTTTTCTTTATGACTATGGTCCCAGCTGCCTTGGGCTGATTCCTCACCGTCATAGTCTTGTATTCCATCCTTGTGCAGGTCTCCATCCATTCCATCCTTGTGTAGGTCTACAATCTTGTCCGACATCCTTGGACAGCTCTTTGGTCTTGGCCATGGTGGAGAGTTTGCAATCTGATTACTTCTGTAGACAGCTAAGATTAGGAGCACTCCCTTTAAGAGAGTGCTCCTAATCTCAGCTCGTTACCTGTATAAAAGACACATGGGAGCCAGAAATCTTGCTGATTGATAGGGGATCAAATACTTATTTCACTCATTGACATGCAAATCAATTTTTAACTTTTTTGACATGTGTTTTTCTGGAAAAATTTTTTTGTAATTCTGTCTCTCACGGTTAAAATACACCTACCATTAAACTGGTCATTTCATTGTCAGTGGACAAATGTTCAAAATCAGCAGGGGATCAAATACTCCAATACTCAAATACTGTATTCCAAATGAGTACCATTCCATCCTAAAAGATGGAAGCTTGAGGTAAGAAAAGAGAAAAACAAAAGCCTATTTATTTTTTATGTCCTAAACGATTTTCATATCTTTATATAATCTTTTCATGTGTTTTATGCGTGATACTCTATGCACCAAAACGACATTTGTATGATCGAGTAATTTTGGTTCTTATAGTATACCTTTTTTTTTTTGTTCGTAATTCACAAGGTGCACTGTTAAAAATGATTGAAGGCAAAGAATGGCAAAGGCTTAGGCATACGATCTATCGGTTGCTACAATAAATGTGTCCATTCCCTTGCAAACTGGTTTTTAAGACTGTTATATGATGGTATATCAATGAGGCTATAGTGTTGAATTGGTTGGGGATGGGGAAGGGGGGGATCTGTCTGGTCGGCTGACCTATTTGTGTGAGAGTGATGAATGGTCTTAATGTGTGTTAGTAAGCCGTGGTATCCTTGAAAGCCCAATTATGGTGTACAACTACGGAACGTAAAGATAAAACCGTTAAACTAGACATAAAGCAGAGTTCGTAGGTCAGCTTCAGATGGTAACCTTGTATCGGCTGCTTCGAGACAAAGGTGGGCACTTTGGTCGGCTCCCACCGGTGGATTATTGATGCCGCCTTCCTGGTTAGCTCTGTTGCAAGAGTCTTGTGGGAGCCCCAATGCCTCCAAAAGAACCAATGCTTCGGTCATGTTGTGGACTGTGTGCTGAGAGTCTCTCTGAGCTACCGTTAGTGTATGATTGAGATGCCACCGGTATTGGAGGTCTTGATGCCTGAGGAGGGTTGTGAGCGACCTCAGGGACTACCTCCAGGCCATTGTGCTTCCTGAGAGGTCGTTGTAGAACGTGCCTGTCCTTGGAAGGTATAGGGAGTTTTCACACAGACCGCAGCCAGTACCATTGCTTTTGTCCTTGGGATTATGCAGTTGGATCATCACATCCCTTCGGACCTTCGCAGGGGCTCTCTTTGGCTTGGAGGTGTTAAAGCAGCCTCTAGACTCACCGCTTTAGCCTGGCGTGGTGGTAGCAGGGTTCCCAGTAGGCGCCTCAACATGTGTGATAACTCTGCTGTTGGCACTGCCTCTGAAATGCCCCGGATCTTGATGTGCGATTTGCTCCTTGGGGTAGCTGTGCCGTTCTGGCAGGCGGGAGCAGATCTTCATCCCCCATGGACAGATCGTCTGACAGGGCAGAGTAAGTCTCCGGGTAGTCGGCCATCTTGGGCCTAGTTGGGCCCTGCGCCTGCCGCAGGAGATCACTATTGTTGAGGCCCATGCAGGGCTTATCTGGTTTTTGGTCTTTGGGCTCATAGTTGCTCCGTCTCCCTTTGCTTACAATTTGGCTGCTCTAGGCGGGTTGTATTGCGTGAAATGAGGGTATAAATCGCCGTTTTGCTTGGAGTTCAGCTTAAGTGCAACCAGTCAGCTCTGCAGCGATACTCCGCCCCCAGAGTATCCATTTCTAAGTAATTATGTACATTGATATTCCGTATTTAACCCCTTAAGGAAGGAGGCAGTTGTACAAGTTGTGATCTAAACAAAACCTCGAATTTGCGCTATGTCTGTTCAGGCGTAACCGTTTTTAAACACTAACATTTGTGTTCAGCGAAGTCTCCCGAGCAAAACAGTACCCCCCCGTTTACAGGTTTTATGGTGTCCTGGAAAGTTACAGGGTTAAATATAGGGTTTGCGAGCCAAATTCTCTGGACTTTCTGCCTGGGTTGTCAGGCATGTCCCACAGATTGTAATTAATAAAATTACTTAATTATGTAAAAATATTATATAAATATATTTGTAGAATTTGTGTGTGTGTGTATATGTATATATGTGTGTGTATTTTTATAACGTCATTCTAAATGTATTTTATATATATATATATATATATATATATATATATATATATATATATATATATATATATATATATATATATATATATGGTCCTATATATTATCAAAATACAGTTAGAACAAATTACAACTAAAGTATATAATTTATTTTTTAGAATTTTTGTATTTTTTTCAATTTGATTATTTTTAATATATTTAAAAATAAACGTCATTCTAAGTGTAGTTTAATATAAATATATAATCTAAGTACTTTTTATTTAATTTAAAAACTCTAACTTTTTTTTTTTTTTTTTTTTACTTTTGAAAACTTTTTTTTACAGGCATGAGGGGGACTGCCTGATAGTTCTGTCTGAGCTGCCAGGCAGACCCCAGGATTGCGACCGCCGGTGTGGGATCGGCGGGGACGTTCTTTGCCGCCCGTCAGCGTTTAGGACTGCTCCAAAAAAGGACGGCATAGAACACCCGCCGTCCTTAAGGGGTTAAAGGAACTCTATAGTAAATACGGCTCTTTATTCCAAACACTATAGAGTCCTTCTCCATGAGAGGACATCCAGCATCATTTCAGTGAGTCAAACTCCATGAAACTGCAGGAAGCACCTCTACTGGCTGTCTGGCAGACAGCCACTAATGGCAGTCTTAACCCCGCAATGTAAATATTGCTGTTTCTCTAAAACTACAAAGTTTTACATTGAAGTGGTCTGGGTGCAGTGTCCCTGTCCCCCTTAGACCTGCAATGATATGAAGTGGTCTGGGTGCCTATAGTGTCCCTGTAAATACCATCATAAACGTGTCCTTTTAAATTAGGGATTTCCAGTTTGTCTTTGGAATATTGTTGTCTTATTGTGTTCCTTTAAATGGATACAACTTTTAATCTTTGTTTTGGAAATGGACTATATGCACTTGCCGATGTAATCTATCTGGGTCCTCATTGTTTATCTATATTTTACATGTAGAATCTAGCTTAATTAGGAACTGCTGGCATTGTGCACCGCTGTGTCTTGTAACTGGTTTATTTTTATGTCCGGTTTTATTAATCCCTTTTTTTGTTTTTTTTAATTCTCCAGGAAAGTGAGGATGGCATTGAAGGAGATGGTGAGTTCCAGTTCTTCTATGGTTATTTTATTTTTATTTTTTTTAACATATAAATTCACTTTTGTTGTCTTAACCTCTTAAGAACCAACTGGCTATCCTAGACTGTCATCTAGGATCCTATTCCAAAGTGGAATGTCCTACTAATTCATTAAAAACAGGCCTCTTGTACAGCTGCCATTGCATAATGAGGAAAATCCATACAAATGTAAGGTATTTTGGTACCTGACTGCTGTTTGATTTAAAAAAAAAAAAATTACAAAAAAAATTGGTCTTCGGTGAGTTAAACCATATTAACATGTGTTTATATGATATATATACACCATTATATTCTGCTATAGTGTTACGATATTGTGCTAGTCCCTATAAGATGACTTTAACCCCTTAAGGACCAAACTTCTGGAATAAAAGGGAATCACGTCATGTGTCTTTAAGGGATTAAAGGTTGCGTTACCGCTTTGGGGACGTAGTTGTAAGTTTTACAGGCCTTATAATAGGAAGTAAAATGGATGCATTAGATTCATTAATGCACATAGCATTTTTCTCTGCCTGCAATTTAGTGCCTCCATAAATATTTTTCATAAATTGAAGATGATGTTTCTGTATGGTAAACGACTCCAGTTAGTTTGACTTTTTTAGAATAAAGGAAGAAGTGCTTTGGATTGTAGAATGTAGGTGTAGGAACTGGGTAAGGATTTGCTTTGAATTAAAATAGTCTTTGGTTAGTTTTCGTGTCTGTATCAAAAAATGTATATTGATCAGAAAAGTCTTTTCCTTTGCACTGGGAGAAAATACTTGCCTCTTTTCCAGTACTAAGGCTCTTTTGGTGCTCCTGCCCTCTCCACCTCCCTTAGGAGGTGTCACTCTCTAGCTGATGATCCAGTGCTCTTCGTAGAGACGTATTGGGTTTTAATGTGCATGCATGAACGTTGCACACACATCCAACCAAATTCTTCTGATCGGAAAGCATTGAATTCAATGATTTCCTATTAACTGCATTTTGTTACAGGGCTGAATTTCAGTCTGTTGTAGAGGAAGCGCCTCTAGTGGTTGTCAGGAAGATTGCCACTGGAGGAGTGTTTCACCCTGCAAGGTAAGCGTTGCTGGGTTAACCCCACATGGCCATTGCACCCACACCACTTCATTGAGATGGGCTGGTTGCAATATTCTGTAAGGGATATAATGCTCTCTTATAGTGATAAAATACTGTATCATACTGTAAAAAAACGAGAGCAATGTGTGCTGGTTACAAATCACACTATAAAAAAAACTCAAGACAGATTGCTGTTATCCACATAGGAATTCAAAGAATCTTCTTATAAAGATGGTAAATACACAATAAAACCGAATAACTGTGTAGTGTAAAAAATAAATAAAATAGAAATATATGACTTTAAAGGTCTTCCTTTGCAGAACGAGTTCAGATAAGACCACTCACTCCGTAAAGGCGAAACATGCACTAGCAGCAAGAGGGAATAGCAGAAAACATTGAGGCATGAAAACCTTGTTTCCAAGGATACGGCAGTCTGAAGCTTAGTTTTGTATGTAATCTGTCAGCAGTCAGGGGAAAAAGCAATCCATGTTTAATTAGTTAAAGGGCTCTTCTCGCATCTCAAAAGCATTTTATTTATTTTTTTATTTTTCATGGGGTTCTTCCAATCCCATAATAACGTCCGCATTTTGAATAGGTTATGGTGCAGCCAGGTCCTCTCTCCCCGCGGGCCCTCAGTGATTTATAAGTGCAGTGATCTGGAAAATCTCTGCAGTTGTAAGCATGCCTCTGCAGCATCTGATGTCAGAGAAGGAAGGAGGCTGTATTTCCTACTCTGCTCGTCCCAATATTTGTAAGGCGCAAGCACCATGTACACTTTGTACTGCTTTCACGTTTCCCGGACGGGCACCGTCCCATTTTTACAGTGAATCAACCTGAACACTGATTGGCGCAGCTTTTCTCACAATGCGGCTCTGCCATTTTTCAGCTTTTCATAAGGATGGGCTGTATGGAAAGCTGTTTTTGACTGTGAATTTCTTGTCCATCTTTGGCAAAACAGTTTCTGCCACTATTTCCCATCAGTCACCACAAAGGCTGATAGGAGCAGGCATTACATTATAAAATACCCATTATAAGCTTATTAACATTTATTGCGCATGTGTGATACACTGTGACATTGTTTTATATGCTTACACATGTGCAAAAGTGATATAGTGCCAACAGCTCTTGGAAAATGAAGAGGCATGGCAGGGTGCCAAGGAAGCACCGTTTAGCCCAGTTCACCCAAGTGAACATATAATCTTGGAAAGTCCTCACAAAATTGACAGTGACACTTTAAAGGAGCTCTTGATAAAGCTGATGGCAGCCTCCGTTTAACTGCTATCCACTTGGGCATCGGTTCTGTTCATTCTATGTGATGAATTGGGTTGCTCTCAAATTCTTAATTAAATCTCCATAACCTCCTGGTTTATGAGATAGGTTCTGAGTGTGTTGTACAGAAAGAGAGCCTTTTGGGCTGAACCAGCTCTTTATACCGCAAAAGCTGAAGATCTAGCAAGTATAGGAAGCCTTAACGTTTAACCCCTGGAGGCAACTGAACCAAAACAAAACCTGGAATTTGAGCTATGTGTCTGTTCAACCATAATTTATGTTTTTTTATAGTGTATACAATTTTGTTTAGTAGAAATGGGGCTTTTATAGGGCTTTCAAGTTGTAATAAAAACAATTTAAGACCTCCCCTTTTTTTTTTTTTTTTCCATGACATTTTAACTCTGTCTTAATACGGTAAGATTTTACTGCAATAAAACACACATCTTGTATGCTGTCCACGAGTACAACAATGCCCCTTTGTACAGGTTTAATGGTGTTTTGGAAAATTACAGGGTTCCCCTTTTCAGTTTTTACACGTTGAAATTTAACAGATTGGCTTGCAGGGCCTATGTGGCATTTGAGACCATATGGCAGCCCAGGAATGAAAATTAAGCCCCTTATAGCATACTATTTGAAAAAGTAGACGACCCAGGGTATTCAAAATGCAAGGGCACTGACGTTCAGATTTGTAATGTCAAATACATTGCCTAGTTTAAAGGACCACTATAGGCACCCAGACCACTTCAGCTTAATTAAGTGTTCTGGGTGCCAGGTCCCTCTAGGATTAACCCTGCCTGCTGTTAACATAGCAGTTTCAGAGAAACTGCTATGTTTACTTTGGGGTTAATCCAGTCTCTAGTTGCTGTCTCATTGACAGCCGCTAGAGGCGCTTCCGCGCTTCTCACTGTGATTTTCACAGTGAGAAGACGCCAGCGTCCATAGGAAAGCATTGAGAAGCCGATGACATCAGAAGAGGGAGCAGAGTCCTCAGCACCGAGAGAGCCCGGCGCTGGAGAAAGGTGAGTGTTAAACCCCCCTTCCTCCCCTTTCAGCCTGGCGGGAAGTGGGACCCTGAGGGTGGGGGCACCCTCGGGGCACTATAGTGCCAGGAAAACAAATTTGTTTTCCTGGCACTATAGTGGTCCTTTAACATACATGCTCATAGTAGTCCAGATGTTGCAAAAACACATACCGAGTCTCAACCCTGAATCCCTTTCTGTATTTATGTATTTGAACAAAAAAATAATGTATTTAATAGGGTTAATAGGCAAGAATGTCTACATTCATATTATAAAAGCTTTTCAGTTCTGTTAATTTGTAACCAGGAGCAGTAGTGCTAATATCTTAATCACATTAAAGGGTAACTACAGTGCCAGGAAGAAAAACTCGTTTTCCTGGCACTATAACTTCCCCCTTTGTCAAGGCCCACCCCTGTGGTGCGGTTAATAAACTCTTTTGTCACTTACCTGGTGCAGCGCTGATGTCTCTCGGCGCTGGCTCAGCTCCACCGGCGGGGGAGACCTAATGTGCATGCGTGGCAGCATTATTCAATGCTTTCCTATAGGGATTCCGGGGACGCTGGAAGTCTTCATGCATAGCGTGAGGACATCAAGCGTTGTTTAGTCGACCAAAAGTCGCATTCAAGCTCGGAAGTTCCTCTAGTGGCTGTCTGGTAGACAGCCACTAGAGGAGGAGTTAACCCTAGCAGCTAATTATTGCCGTTTATAAAAACGGCAATAATTACCACTCTAGGGTTAGGGGTGATGGAAGTTTGCACCCAGACCACTTCAATGAGCTGAAGTGCTCTGGGTGCATACGGTGTCCCTTTAAATATGGTTTGTTTGTGTTTTGGTTTTTTTCTCCCCACAAGAAAACCCCCAAATATTGTTAATTCTGTGAATACATCCTTCTTTGAGTGTGTTAAAGCAATCCATTTGCCCATTACCATATTTCTTTCTTTATTTCATTCCACAGTGTGTTCCTATACCGTGCACACAACCCATAACGGGGTTTACAGTTTATTAGTGCCAGATAATTTTCTTTAGTTTAGAGGGAGACTGCCAATGTAGATATTCCCTGTGTGCCTTCTCTTATACAATGTGTTGTGATATGTAGGTATCATGTTAGGTTCTCTCTGCTTTGTATGTAGCCATTTCCTTGTGTTTATTTTCGTATGTTTTTGTTTTTCTCCCAGCTGTTTTGTCAGACTATGAGAGTGCAGAAGAATCTGAAGTAAGTAGACTGTGCTTGATGTCATAAATGTGCATCCAGTAATTGTCTAATATTTACACATGGACGTAGTGCTGTATTTAGTCACTAACCAGCAAGCTGACAACAGAATTGTGCTCTGTGAATAGCATATTTAGTGGAAACCTATCTATAGTAGACATCTGACAAATGGACTACAGCTCCCTGAAGCCTCCTGCTTCTACCCACAATGTCACTGCAGTAAACTTCACCTTGCATTGTAACTGGTTTGACTATTCACTGTTTAGTGAATAAACCCTTATAAGGTTAAAGGAGGACGGTCAACATAATTTTATTACTGAGGGGGGCACCCCCTGCCCCTCCCCTCCTTAAGAAAAGTTATTTTAGTAGACTGTTTTTAAAGCCAGATTTCTGGTGGAGGCTACCTTTACATGTTTATTCGATGTATAGAAGAGAATATCAGATAAAAGTGATCCTAGTCCAATCGTAAGCATTAAAAACTAGTGTAACAGATATCATAAACATGGATGGAGGAATCCAATAAATATCTGAATTTTAAGTATATCAATTGGCAAATAATGCAGTACTGTGCTTATTTGATACTGGGCTTTATGGAGTGTTTATTCCACCAAAGTGTATCTGACAATGTTTGGACACCCACTGGGCTCTTTCATGGCTTGACAGTGGGAGTCAAAATGTTGCCTGATACAGTTTGATGGAATAAATCCTTCATAAAGCCAATATTGGTGTTGCGGCGCTAATGCTATATAAACTGGATTTTGAGAAAAAACATCTTCGCTATGTGCCTGTGCTATTCTATGAAATAATGCAGGACATGGGAAAATAGATATACTTAGCTGAAACCCATGTAGCTAATTGACATTTTCTCCCAGAAACTGACGTCACTATAGTACTCTTGTGCATGCATAAGCATACAAAACAAGGGTCTATGGATGTTCAATCAAGAGCAGAGGTGTTTACCTTGATAATCTGTACAGTGAGATGCCATGTGCGTCTATTTTGCATCACGCAAGAAAATGCTTGCTCTCTCCAAATGTTACTACTGATTGCTTATCTGAAATACCAGGATGTAGTGGGGGGCGGGGGGGCTCAACTGATTGCCACATTATGCTAAAAATCGCCACTTATATGAACCAGATGTTCCTTTAATTGGTTTTGTGTATATCTTTTTATTGTATTTACATTTTCCATGAAATTGCAGTGCAAAAATCACAAGTAACAGTGCAGCTTTAACATTATTCTCTCCCCAAACATCAGGAAGAGGAGGAGGTGGTGGCGGCTTGCTTCAGTGAGGAGGAGCCCCTAAAGACATCACTGAAACAGGAAGCCAACACTGCGGAGACAACTCCAGCCCCAAAAGAGGAGAAATCCAAGACAAAGGAAGGAGTAACAGGGGAGCGGCAGAGTGGGGATGGACAGGTATACAAGTTATCAGGTCCGGAGTGACTCCATGAAAAAAACTGGAACTCACAGCAGGGATAATGAAATGGTGTACAGTGTCTGTTAAATACTTCCACTCATCAAAAAATGAGTTTTTGTGCTCATCGCTCCGTTATTTGAAGTGGTCATTGCGGTAGGAATATGTATATTCAGTTTGAAACACTGCACATACTGAGGGGCTAGTTGCACCCCTGGCACACGTAACATTAGCAGCCTAGAACTCCTCCTGTCTGTCAATGTCTGTTCTGTACATATTTTCTGTGAACGCTGCCTGCTGACAGCAGTCGTAGAAAGCTTCCCTTGCAGGCAGAGCGTCGAAGCCAGCTTTCCCCTCCTGCCTTGTGTGCGCTCTCTCCCACCTCCCTCAGTTTCACATTTGTTAGCTTTTAAATATAAAACCTTCTTACTCCTTCCCTTCCTTTGATTACAGACATAATGCATTTAAAAGTAAAGAAAATCTGAATAAAACAAACTACTCATGAAATTACCTCTTCTGCTCAGACCAGCCGCCTGTACCCACAGTCATCTAATAGGTGGGAAATCCCGGCCTACCTCTTGGCTAACATTGACTTCATGGGTCTTTACAGGTCTTAATATCAAGGGAATGTCATGGATAAGGGTAGATGGAAGGCTCTTTACCAAGACCAAAAATAACAATATGGTTAACTGTACTTTGTCACAGGAAAGCACGGAGCCAGATGAAAATAAGAGCTCCAGAAAATCCCAAAAGAAACTGGATGATGATGAAGACCGGAAGAATCCTGCATACATCCCTCGGAAGGGCCTTTTTTTCGAACATGATCTGCGTGGACACACTCATGATGAGGAAGTTAGGTAAGATGGGAGAGAAGCATCCACTGAGGTGAAAATTAAGTTTTTTTTTGTTTTTGTTTTTTTTCTGTTAAGTGGTTTGGCAGATAGCATTCGTAGGCGATATGTTCTGCATTTAATTATCAGTGCGCAGCCTGCTCTGATCCTTATAATTATTTTATACATAATGCTGTACCCACCTTTTATATTGTCATCAGACCGAAGGGTCGACACCCTCGCAAGCTGTGGAAAGACGAGGGCCGGTGGGAACATGACCGCTTCCGGGAGGACGAACAAGCCCCTAAGTCACGCGAGGAGCTTGTTGCCTTGTATGGCTACGACATTCGATCCTGCAAAAACCCTGAAGAGATTCGTCCGCGGCGGCCAAGGAAACCCAGGTAAGCTGGAGACCCAGAGTCAGTTCATGCCATGTTTGGCTAAAAGAAGTTGATAGAAAATTGTTTTGCTGCTTAGAGAACTAACAGGGGGACTTGGCACCCAGACCACTTAATTGAGCTGAAGTGGTCTGGGTGCCTATAGTGGTCCTTTAACTATAATCGCACAGTAGACTGGGCAGGCTGGTGGTTGAGCTAGGCCTCTGCTAAGGTTAATGCAGTGGACAGGTTGCTGACCTTGCTGGCCCCCTTTTCTAGCTCGCACTCTGCTTCTTTAATTGTAGCAGAAAGTACAGGAGGTCACAAGTGGTTATAATGGTGTGCCATGCTTGTGTGACAGTGAAGTCAGTAGTCTCCTTGTGTGAATGCGATTCCTTACACTATACCACCAAATACCGAAAGCCCCAGTAACCGTATGTATATGTATATATTGTGTGTGTGTGTGTGTGTGTGTATATTGTAAGAGAAAATGTGGAATGGTTGTTGAGGGAAGATATATTAGGCCTGCTTTACTAAACAGCAGCCTGAGGTTTCTCAATTAAATGTCCCAGGAAGAGATATTACTTTTGCAAGATACATTGCTGGTAATCTGCAAACCACGGTAAGGGTCCCTGGGGCGAAGCATTTGGAGAGCAGGGTGGGCCAGTGCTCCAATAGCACTAGTTGCTATATAACAGCCAGACCAGGACTTGTATATACCTTAGGAGTTCCAGAGATGTGAACTAATTGATACTCACCTGTAGCTGACCAATTGGCAGGCAGGCTTTTAAAAGAAGGGATCAGCCTGCTGCAGAGTGAGGGAGAAAGAGCCAGAGGAATGGTGTGTCTTAGATTTATAGTTTTTGATTGTAAATTGGTAAGTGGGAAAGCCACCCAATTCCAGATAGCCATTACCGTGTTTAGTAAGTGCTCAAACAAGAGCAAGGAGTTTTGTTTTTATTTTGAAGCACCTGTATATGTTGCACTAAATAAATCGGGAAAATTGAGCTGAATGTGTCCTGGACTTTGATTACGCTAATCAAAATCTGTGACAAAATCCTACCTGTAAAAGAGGTGGTTTGTTACAGTGTGTATGTATGTATATACTGTATGTACTCGAGTATAAGTCGACCCGAATATAAGTCAAGACCCGTAATTTTACCCCCCAAAAATGGGAAAACGTATTGACTTGAGTATAAGACTAGGGTGGGAAATGCAGCAGCTACTGGTAAATTTCTAAATAAAATTAAATCCCCATAAAATTATATTAATTGAATATTTATTTGCAGTGTGTGTATGAATACAGTGCAGTGTGTATGAATGCAGTGTGTGTGTGTATGAGTGCAGTATGTGTATGTGATGCAGAGCCTTGGTGGGAGGTGGGCATTTTTTATTTTATTATTATTATTATTTTTATTTTAATGTTATTAAATTTTTCTTATTTTATTGTTATTTAAATTTTTATTTATATTTTTTTGTCCCCCGTCCCTGCTTGTTAGATGGGCTGTGTAGGAGGGGGTCTGGCAGAGAGCTGTAACTTACCTTTCCTGCAGCTCCTGTCAGCTCCCTTCTCTCCCCTCCGGTCCGGTCAGCTCCCTTCTCCACTGCAAGTCTCGCAGTGTGAGTGCCGCACTGAGCGTTGCCACGGTAACCCGCGGCTCTCGCAAGACAGGGGAGCTGACCGGGCCGGAGGAGAGAGAAGGGAGCTGCAGGAAAGGTAAGTTACAGCTCCCTGCCAGCCCCGAACAGGACCGCCGGGCTTGTAATGAACCCGGCGGTTCTTGTCTGTATTATGGCAATGTAAGTTGCCATAATACAGACATTGACTCAAGTATAAGTCGAGTTGGGGTTTTTCAGCACACACAAAATTTGCTGAAAAACTCGACTTATACTCGAGTATATATGGTATATTAATCCAATGCTTGCACTCCAGTTTTATAATAGGAAAAAGCCTGGTGCTTGCCAGCAAAATTAATATTAATATATATATTCTAATCTGTATCTCAAAGAAATAAACACAAATAGAAAGTATGAGGGAAATGTGTAATCTGGATTAATAGGATTTGTTATGTGTGATTTTATTTTTTATTTGCAGATTTAGTAGCCCTACCAGGAGAGAGGAGGCAGATGAGAAACCCAACCGGCCTTCAAACCGTTACCAGGAAACAGACTCTAATCCTCCACCTCGGTCTTACAGCAATCGAAGTACACCTGGCTCTGGTAGAGCTCCCTCTTCAAGGACCAACCCCAGGCAAGGTGGATACAAAGAGAGCCGTCCCAACTACCAGCATGAAGAGGAAAATGCTTCACACACACCTTCAGAGCGTAGACAAGATTATGGTGGTTACAGAACACGACATATAGAGCATGTCCCACCGCAGCCTAGAGAGGCTTCTCCTGAAGCACCAGCTCCCACAAAAGCTGAACCAGTAGTGGAGAAACAGTTGGCAGAACCATCACCACCTCCTGTGGATCGACCAGTAGAGAAAAAGTCCTACTCTAGGGCACGGAGAAGTCGTATTAAAGGGGGGGAAACAGGAAAAAGTATGGAAGAAACGCTCCCTGAACTACCTCCTCCTCCACCACCAATGCTCCCTGTGATGGCTACAGAGATCTCCCCTCCTGCCCCTGCTGTAAAAACTGCTGGCTGGGAGCATCCTGTAGAGGGAGGGGTGCCTGGACTGGATCAAGAAATGTCACAGATGAATCTATCCGATCAGAACTGGAGCCAAGGACAATCTCCATATATTTCAAACCGCGGTATGTTTAACTCCTTCCTGCATATCTTTAATGGACTCTTTTGCATGTATCCTCACTGCTTCTACGTTTTTTTTAATGTGTCATTATGTACACTTAGCACCCAACATTCCTTTATTAAAGGGACACTATAGGCAGCCAGACCACTTCATCCTAGTGAAGTGGTCTGGGTGCCATGTGTTTCTCATTTTAACCCCGCAATGTAAAATGGCAATGTTTATATTTCAGGGTTTAAATGCCTCTAGTGGCTGTCCTGCTGAAGAATCTGTGCCTTCACTTGTTTATATTAATCAGATTGTCTCATGGAGATCATCTGATTGGCACAGCGTTTTGATACAAGTGAGCAGTAGCCTTCGCTACTGGCTGAGATAATCAAGATTGTTGATTTTAGCCAATGAAGCTGAGCCAGCTGTAGAGAGAGCACCTTCACGTGTGATTAAAAGTAATCTACATTTGTAACCCTTGAAGAGTGGCATGGTCATCTAAAAGTTGACTGGGACACTATAGTCTTACTTTAAGAGGAAGTGTAAATCCTGGTGAAGAGGGAGTCCTTTGTTACATTACGCTGGTACTACAGCAATCTGTATATACGAATATATGGATTTTCATTTTTTTAAATTCTTTACTTAGTTCATAGTCAGATATGCGAAACCTAAATAATCTATATGCAGATATGAATATGAAAGATCAGAAAATGCATAATATCAAAATAAGGGTATTTTGTTTAATTGTGTTTTTAATATAGTAAATACTGGCTCTGTCTAAACATAAAACACATTTAATTGGGGATCCTGAAGGTGACCACTACAAAATGCAAAAATATAATTTGCATAGTCCAGAACGACTTATCGTAGTGTATTAGAGGGGGACAGCTCCATGAATGCATTCATGTGTGAAATAAAGGAATCGGACCTGGGGTGGGATGATATTAGCTTGGGAACTGGCTTGGCTGGGGCGTACCTAGTTCAACCTGTACAGGCTGTAGAATCATGGCTAGATGGGCCGAATGGTTCTTATCTGCCGTCACATTCTATGTTTCTATGGCATTGAAGTAACATAAGTAAAAATAAACAGGAAAACGGATCCTTCTCATATTATTAGCTAAACTCAGGTGACCACCACACTTGGTGTTTTTTTTGTTTTTTTTATTGTACATTTAACACGTTTTTGTGTGTATTTGGAGTGAACACATCAGGTGATAGTAGCACCAATCGCATTTTCCTTCACTAATCCCTATATTTACTGTATATTTACCACACTTGTTGCGCCACCGGTCTCAGAAGTAAATATAATCTTTTTAGCTTGTTCCCAGACGCTGGGAGTGGGTTGAGGTTGTTGACTGAGACCCACAGTGGACAAGACTGTGTCCATCTCGGAGGCATCGATTACTTTATGCTCGGTGTTGGTGAATAATTCTTTCCTTTTGACCTATTTACTACCACGTGAATAAATATCCGTTTTTATGGAACCATCAGAGATTTCTGGGCGTCTCTTGCTGAAGCTACACTGCATAAATGGTGCTACTGTAAAATCCCTGCTGGGGTACTGTAGAGTTGGCTCTTTAATTTACTAAAGCAAAGCCAACACGTGTTAATCTTCATTATTTTGTATTCCCATATAGAAGTCCTCCATGATATCTATCCTCTAATGCATTAATAATGTAGCAGAACCTCTTGTGTACTGTTAACATTGCCAGTTCGTTACAACCTGGCCTTCTGTATCTCTGTATGTCCTTAATGTTAGGCCTATCTAGTAGCATAGCCCAAACATTTTGAGCCTGATCTGTGTGTGTGTATTATTATAACTTTTATTTTTTGTCTAAAATACAGTATGTGACAATATGCCATACTTCTGAAAAATTCTGATTTTAGGCCCATGTAAAATTGGTTCATTCAAGAATTTCAGGGCTTTTCAGCCCATATGCAGGTGCTTCAGTAGGTCATCCATAGCCCAGCCCCAAGCCCCCATTATTATCCATTCTGACATCGGTGTGCTGATGATGCCACTGTATTGGTGTTTTGAAAGATTTTTGGTTTACCTGGAGAAATGGTTTCAAATTGGCCTTTCACGCTGCAGGTGGGGCAGGACCTGAGTGTCAGGGTTATGTTGGTGTGTAACACCATGGACCTTTTGTCATACTGGTACATTGAAAATGAGATAAATTAGACCATAACAGGTCCTAAAGCATTTAAATAATTGTATCTTTATGATAAATTATATATTGCATTAGCAATGTTTATCCATTTAGGTGAACCTGTCATGACAAGCATTGGCCTACCAATGTTAAAAAACAAAATCAAACCAAACTGATTTTGTTTCAGCATGTTCAGTGTTAGAAGATCTGTAATTTTAAACACATTCACCAGGTCAGCCACTGTAGATTAAAGCATGTAATTATTTTATTGTGTAGTTAATAATGCCACTAGTAACAATCCCTTGATGCTACAATCTCTGTGATGGCATTCACCCTATGGGTGCTGTGTCCTTTTCCACAATCTAATGTGCATGTGGTCTGTAGATAATCACAAATGGAACAAAACTGTTTTGTTAGCTCCCAGTGTTGGGTGAGAAATATTAGCACTGCAATGCCTAAGTCTTTAAAACGTGTTTTAAAAAATAAATAAAAAAATACAATGTTCTTTCTTTTAGGTATTCCTAACCATATGCACATGGCAGGAGGCCCACCGCAGTATAGCCGCATGGAAGGCATGGTGAGTTTGGGTTGGCAATGTGAGGGGAAGTGGAGCACGGTCACCCATCCTGCGGAATGATGTATAGTGCCAACGTTAGTGGGTTGATTTGTGTTTCCGTTAACACTGTAATGTTTCTTCTGTATTCCTCTATGAGCAGCACTTACACGTGATATGCACCATGAATTAAAGGGACACTCTAGTCACCCAGACCACTTCAGCTCAATGAAGTGGTCTGGGTGCAATTTCCCTCAGGTTTTAACCCTTCAGATGCAAACATAGCGGTTTCAGAGAATCTGCTATGTTTACATTTGGGGTTAGGCCAGCCTCTAGTGGCTGTCTTCCGGACAGCCACTAGAGGCGTATCTGCAACGCTGGAGGCATATTATGTTTCCATTGCGCAGAGCGTACATAGGAAAGCATTGAAAAATGCTTTTTCTTGTTGACAGCTTGAATGCGCGTGCGGCAGTTGCCGCGCATGCGCATTCGGCTCCGCTGACGGTGGGGGAGGAGAGGTAACCAGCGCTGAGGGAGCCCGGCGCTGGAATAAGGTAAGCTGCTGAAGGGGTTTTAACGTGCCAACGAGGGGAACACTGAGGGTGGGGGCACCCTCAAGGCACTATAGTGTCAGGAACACTGCTTTGTTTTCCTGGCACTATAGTGATCCTTTAATGTCTCTGTTATTCACTAAAGCGAGATTTGTCATGAATGTAAAGTAAAATTAAAATTTAAGGCCAAAATAGCTTAACTGGAATCTTTGCGGATTTGGAACATTTTTCCAGTTCAGATTTTTGACTTGAAAATTCACTGAACATGGCCTAATGTTGCACATTGAATTCCCAACAATTCTCATTAATGAAAAACCATGTAGGGCTTTAGGCATTCAACTTTTAACTACTGTGCTGCTAACTGATTGTTTTTTTTTTTTTTTGTCTGTTTGTTTTTAAATTATACAAAATATTGAAAACTGTTTTCCAAAAGCAAAACATAGAGGGTTATATATAAAGAACATTTCCGGGGAAAAATATTCTGTGAAAGTAGTGCAGTCACTATGAAAATCCATGGAATGTTCCTTATGGCTTCTCCGTTTTTTGAACCCAGCCCCAGAATACGTAACCTTATGTTCTCCAATGTCTTTAGTTAGAAGCAGAGTGCACGCCAGTGCTTGCATGATTTCTCTTAAAAAAATGAGAACCTATATATATCAATAACAATGGGTATATTGCAATTTTCGTTTCTAATAATGCATTTCTATTACAGACGGTCCAGAGCGGACGTGTTAAGAGGTATTCTTCTCAACGGCAGAGGTCTGTACCAGACCCAGCACCCATTCACCTTGGAATCATGGAGGGGCATTACTATGACCCAAGTAAGAACAACTTTAAAATTGTACAGTGCACAGGATGTATAGATGCAGCATACCCATAAGCCTGTCAATAGGATAATTTGTATTGATCTACTCTGTTTTTTATTTTATTTTCTTTAATGTGCATACATCTTATTTATTGCAGTTCAGTACCAGGGACCAATATATGCTCACGGTGACAACCCATCTTCCTTGCCCCCTCAGGGTATGATTGTACAGCCAGAAATGCATCTGCCCCACCCAGGTATGTGTGTTTTTAATGGAAATACCTTTTAATACTAATCCGTTGATTGCTTTGCTGCCTTTTAAGATTGAATTGCCATGTTGATGAAAACAAGTTAGGGACAAACAGTAGAGCTCCAAGCATGGATTAGTGAATATCCTTTCATTTTCTGCTGTTCTCTAAATACTTTGGTGTTTACAATGGAAGTTGTATCGGATCCTTATTTTATAATTAATGGTATCTGTCTGCTGTTGACTAGCTTAATGAGCTCCAGTTTACGTTGGTATGCTAGATAAAACTTGCAGGTTTGTAGAACAGTTGACGTATGTCTACATTTTAGGATTGGTTGGTGGAGGAATGAAAATGGCAAATGATTATTGAAATGTCTGTTTTGGTGAGGGATGAAAAAAATAACAAATGCTTAATATCAAAAACCCACTAAAATTGAGAGCCACCGTTTGCCTTCTAGATCGCTTAGATCCTTCTTGAGTGTTGTCATCCAAGTCCTAAACATTGTGCGGTGGGTTAATGCAGCATTCTTTAATAGGTTCTAAAGGGATTTTCACCCTTTTCTGTTCTGCTCCCCTAAATATCCAATATTCAGATTGAGTGTTTGCTGAGGCCACTGCAATAAAAGGAATGCCCTAGGGTGGATTTGCCACGTGTTTTCTGTTATAGATAATCTATTGAACAAAAAATGCAGCTGCCATTTTTGGTGCTAAAAGAAGGCATTTTCCATTAGAAGAGTTACTTGAAGCACCATTGAAGTGGTCATGGTGCCTGGAGTTTGTGTAGCTTATCACTTTACGAACAGTTTTGCTATGGACTTACTGAACTGATGCCCCTCCAGCAGCATCATTGGAGTGTCATTAGTCAGCTAGAGACAAGAGGTCCTGCTGGCTAACCTCAATTCTCTTCATATTCGGCATCAGCATGCAAGTCCCCTCTTTCATAGCAACCATGTCCTCCGCTTGGCAACCTTACCTCTGTGCTGGAACGAAAAGAGGTAACGTGGTTTTTGTGTGTGTGGTTTTTTTTGTTTTTTGTTGTTGTTGTTGTTGTAGCGAGAGTGTGATGACGGACCATGCTAAAGAACGGTCACTCAAACTAAAAACCAATGTCCCTGTGTTTTCTGTTTGTTTTTTGGTTAGAGTAGCACTTTAAGTGATCTTTCAAATTTCCATAACCAATCTGTGTTTTCTCATGTCTATAAACTGTTTTTGGTTTTCATTGTCTTTAATTCAGTCTATTTGTTTATTTCAGGAATGCACCCACACCAATCACCTGCTCCCATGACTACCCCAAACCTTTACCCTTCACCAGTTTCCCTCCCTCCAAATCAACCACCCCCTCAACAGCTGCTGCCTCCTCCATACTTCACTACACCTACTGGAGTGATGAATTTTGGAAATCCAGGCTATCCTTACAACCCTGGTGCCCTTCCCCCTCCACCCCCACCTCATATATACCCCAATGCACAGGTAAGTACACTCTGATGCCATAACTGTAGTGGTTGTAGTGCTAAGAAGGGTCCGGGAAATGTTATCTTTTACTAGTGATCTTTAGTGATAATCTCTCGTAAAATCTAGGGCAGTGGGAACGGAAATATGTTAGTGGCACTTTCTGCCCTTTGCCTACAAGTCTTCTTATTAAATATTTGTGTGTGGGAGGAACCTGCTGGATGTGTGTAACCTTTGTACTTTCTTTGCTTAGCAGTCCTGATAAGATTGTTTTCTTTTCTCATTTACCTTGACAGGCCCAGTCCCAGGTATATGGGGGAGTCACCTACTATAACCCTGTACAGCAGCAAGTACAGCAGAAGCCTTCACCTCCCAGACGTACTTCACAGCCAGTAACTATAAAGCCACCCCCTCCAGAGGTAAGGCTGCCATATGGGGAGCATTGTAAAGTTGTTGTTTTTTTTAATTAAGGCTACATCATAATTGGCCATAGAGTTTACTGCTCAGATTTTGGTAATAAGCAGTTAACTTCCACCTGATTGTTGCTGCCCATGTTTAATTCCACCTGACTTTAGATGGCACCATTGTATATGTTACAGATTTATATCAAACTTATTCTACTCCCTTTATTTCATCTGGACTATGGTTCCAGTAAGTGTTGGATAATTAGACTCTATGCCAGCAGAATTGCAGGAGCATATGATTTAGCAGTGATGCCTTAATAAAGTATCAGCTGGAAGGTTGAATACCGTAGTTTTTCCTTACAATACTGTAATAAAGGAGATAAAGGATGATTTTATTCCATCTTGGCTATTTACGACCCTTTTTGTTCTATTTTCTTGTCAGGAAATTAATCACCAATAGATTGCCATTGTGTTTTTTTTTGCACAATGCGTAAGAGCATTGGTGATTCCCTACATTTTTCATTTAAAATTTCATTGGGACACTATGTATTGGTATAGCATATTTTCTTACGGATTGATATTGATCTGTTTAATATTGCACTTCTCACTAAGTAATGTTACAATCTTAACGACTGTAGAGTTCTCCGTGCCAATTTTAATCTATCCAACCCAATTTTTCTTACAGGAAAACAGACATATGAAAACAATAGAGAAAAGCAATTCATAAATATAGACTGTTCAGCCAGAGGAATCACTCTGGACCAAGAAGACCCTCGTCTCCCCTATTTCTTTGTGAATTAAGAACCGATTCCATCTTTAGTGCCGTGTACAGACCAATCTAACCGATTTTTCTTCCTGGAAAACCTATTGACCAGAAGGAGCTAATATTCACCAAATCCATTGTTTTGTGTTTGAGTAACATTAACCGAAATATTACCTGGGACCTTGAATAGACGGTTTGAAAGACTACTGTTTGGTTTAACTCCTTCAGAGATGGAGGTGCCTCCTAACAAGTGTTAACCCTTTCACAACTAGAATAACCAGTAACATATTGTTTGACTTGTATTACAGTACAAAGTGTTACATGCCTGTCTAGCTGAGAAAGGGTTTTTTTTTGTCGCCCAGTCTTGTTCTTTACATTTTCTTGACCTAAACACACTGTGATGGCTTTTTTTTTTTTTTTTTTTTGTTCTGTGTGTTTATTTTGGTTTTTCCTTCTTAAAATATGTATTTTTGTGAACAGCTAAAATATGTTAATAAAAACTTAGTGAGGTTTTCTCCATCACCAATCTGTTACATGCATAATTGATATTTGCTAGTACCTTACACAATGGAACAAAGTGATAACTACATGGTTTTAAAAAAAAAAAAAAAAAAGTTATACTCTATTTATTTTCTCATATCATAAGGCGTTTCAGATCTACTTCAAATAAACCACAGGTGGAATCTCAATGTCTTTTCTGAGACAGTTGAATCACCTTACCGAGTACCTTAATCACAATTTACCACTTAATCCTAAATTATAGAGACTCAAATTTTGTCTATATATTGTGCTAAAAGATCTCTATAAAAGAAGAGGTTTAAAACCACTCCTTTCCCTGTCCGTTTAGTCTGAGATAAAAGGGCTATGTTCTGCATGTTTGTAATCAAAGAAACCCTCATCTGGGCATCTTTCCGGTTTGCACTTGGCTTAAGAGAAAGCATTTCTTGCAAGGGGGAAGAAGGATTAGGGGCAGGCTCTGTGTGAGAGCAGAAGCCGCAGCATGGAAAGAAACCGGCAGAATGGTTTCTTGCATTATCTATATTGGGGACTTTCAACTTTTTGTGAGAAACAAATATGTGCTTCCCAAGCAGGGCTATGCACATAACAAGTGTAACAGACTGAAAACATGATTGATGCTTTTTCAAGAGATGGAAATTAAGTTGAGCTTCTAATAGTATTTAGGGAAGAAACATTTATTGTATAACGTGATTCAAGCCAGATGGTTAGAAAACTGCAAACCTATATCTGTTGTGACAGTTTTACTTGAAGAGGACACGATGTACATGGAATTACTCAAATTTTGTAATACGTTTATGTAGGTAGTGCATGAAATAATATCAGAATAAAATGGGGAAACATACCTTTTAATGTTTTTTATATATATATATATATTGCCCCCATCTCGCCCTCCTCCCAATACAGGCCTTATTGCACCCAGCACAAACACTGGGTCCCTTACATACACTAGATCTCCTATAGACACAATGCACCACCTACACACACAACTTTCTTGAAACTTACACTACATCCCCCTATACACTATGTAATAACACAACTGAAACTGATCTATTTACACAAAAGACCACGCAACAAGCTACCCCCTCTTTTAAAACTTCAGCAGAGCTCTGTGCATAGGCTGCCCTGGAAGAGCATTAAACCAACATAATAACTTGGAGGGGGGACATGCTTGTCATTGAGATGACACAACACACCCTTCTCTGGTACCACATGGCCTCTCTGATTAGAAAATTCCCAGGCCACATTTTTAGCCCAGTCAGGCCCTAGTGCGTAGAGTGGACTTAATGGTGGCCCTGTTGACCTGAAGGGATACTGATTGTCTGCATTTTAGTAAGAAAGCAGTCTTTCAATTGAATATGGAGGAGAGACAGCTGCAATTAAGACTGGAATGCGAGATCTCAAGGGAAAAATGATCTTAAGATGAAAAATAAATGATCAGGTCAGTGAGGCATTGTAGAATGAGAACGGGGAGGACCCAGAACAGTTCCTTGAGAAATGCCAGGTAGCAAAGGGAAGGTTGTGCAAGACAAGGAGACACTTAAAAAGCTGTGTGAAAGACTAGAATGAAACTATGAAACCAAATGGTGACATTAAGGCCAAGGAGGGCGAGAACAATAATTTGGCAATGGCCCACAGTGTATAAAGTTGCAAAGAAACCGTAATGGTCAACAGTGATTTAGAATCAATCAAATAACTGATCGTCTTGTTGAGAGTAGATTCAGTGAAATTCGGAAGCTGGAAATTAAATTGAAGATGGTCAGATAGGCATTGAGTTCAATGAAATTGATTAGCCTGGTGTATGCTGGTCTGGTAGATGCTAATGGGAAGGGAAATGGGACAGTAGTTGGATGGTAAATATGTATTGAGTTTAGGCCATTTAAAAATAGGAATGACTAGATTTTTTGGGAAAGATATCAGAAGAGAGAGTGAGGATTTTTTTTAGAGACTTAAGATTTTTAATAGTGGAGAACAAAGATTAATCAAGATTCAAGGGGAGTGGGTCAAAGCATCGTGACTAAAGAAGAGTGGAAGTCACACCAATAGTTGGCGATAATGATGTTAGGATAGCTGGAGAGATGAAGCAGTATAGGTTGATTATTAAAAGGGCAGTCTGATACTTCTTATCTTTTCAGTATAATAGGATAAGTAATGAAATGAGAGGTTGGTGGGAGGGGAGGCAGCAATGGGATAAAGTGATTGGAACATGCCTCGGATCATTATAGCGAGTGGTGATAAGGAATTTATAAAAAAATTTTTGCTTGATTAGGGAGTGTGCTGAGCTATAGGAGCCTTAACTGGAAGTATAGAGGATTGTAGTTCATACAATTACTAAAGTACAGTTGGGTATTGGGTATTGTTTTACAATTACACATTGAACTGGATGTGGGACCGTACGCATAACACACAGCAAAAAGTTCTCTAATTCAACTGTTATCAAATGTTATCAGTTCAGCTACTTAGGAGTTTATTTTTGTTTGCAATTCTTTATTTTTGATGTGCATAAAAGGTACATATACGCAGGTATGCCACAGTAGCAGACGCCGGCAACTCAAAGTAAACAGTAATATGGCATGAGACAAGACTGCACAATTTTTTATATAATAAACATGTTTGTAAACACCTTTTAGGTTAGTCAGGATGAGCATACATGACACTGCACTGTGAGGTGCGTGGTTGTAACAAAGATCAATTAGTAAATAATCATGCGAGGCAAACTACTCTTAACAGTACATAATGGCTCTCAACGATGCGGTCTACTCATTTAGGCATAACATGGGTCATTATAGAAAATAAGACAAAGACTTGATGCATGGGTTAAAGAAAACATACAATGTGCATAGCAGGTCTCTTCTAATTACATTGAACAGTGGTACATTACCCTTTTACAGTTCTGTCATGGTATGAGCTCGCTTACCATTATCAGAACTCTTTTATGTTTCGTGTAAGTAGATAAGACATCGATTTATCAATTGAAGATAGAATAAGGTATACCTTACTTGTTGAGTAAGGTTGTGTGTCCTAGGCCTAAGGTGGTGTCTTTGGGTTAGAACGCGCCCAGACAGCTATTTCTGAGCAGGCTACCGAGCCTGTTAGCGGGGTGTTCCTGGATTGGCGATGTAAATTCTAGCTGACCAACAGACCCCCGGTCGCTTCTATTCTAGTATAACATATGTGTGTTGGGGGGGTCATGTTCGTAGGTATGTCTAGCATGTGAGGCATTCTGGTGTAGTCTGTATGGTGCTTCTAATTAGTTGAGTATGTAACAACCCGCCGTGGGCACATCTTTAGACTGGCTGCTGGTTTAGTCCCTGGTAACCTGCCCTGGCAGTGTATCTGGTATAGGCGTTTGCTTAGGCTGGCAACGATATGAGGTTGGAACAGAGAAATAACCGAACATAACATAAAATTAACAATGGTATTTTGACACCTTTTAGCGGGTTATGGGGCGGCCCAAATCCTTGGGTGTATACACGGGTACCGTGCTCGGAGGCAAGTGGCACTGACCGCCAATGCTCTGGCTTGGCATGGCCGTGTAGGCCCTGGCAGTCTCTTGTCTGAGAGTGAGATGTTTAGGTATGTGGACAGGCAGTGCGGGCAGTCCAAGTGTCCCTTCTAGGCCATACCGCCTCCAGCTAAATATAGGCTGTGCCGGCGCGATATCCCAAAACATTCACCGGTGCCTTGGCTGGTCGGGGGTCTTCACTGCGGGTCAGGCAAGTCAGGGTCAGCCTCCGCCTCCTGGGAGGCTGGGAGCAATTGTGATGGCTCTCGTGTGTCCATTAAGCAAATTTCACGGTGGTCGCCCAGTCACTTGGGAGAGGTAATAGCTCGTTCTGAGGGAAAGAGTTTGTCAGGTTCCCGGGGGGTACGAGTCCCCCAGAGAGGTCAGGTGTAGTAGTTCGGTATAATTAGGTTGTGGTGTGGTTGGTGTTGGAATGTGAGCTCCGTTTAGGTGGTGACTGAAGCGTAGGTAACCGGTGTGGTGTTTCGTGGTATAAATGGGGAGCTTTTCTCTGGGTCCCAGTTGTGAGCCTGGATGGTGGGGGTTCGGAGTCCCGCTGGGGGAGTGAATCCTGTGGCAGGCCCAAGGCATGCAAAAGATCAGCTGCGTCCTGCAAGCTGTGGATTTGGTGAGTTGTCTCGCCCTGCTGCACAAGGAGTGTATGGGAGGACCGCCGGCGGTATTGTATGTTGTGTCGCTGGAGCATGGCGGTGAGGGGCCGGAGTGATTTACGCCACGCTAGAGTTCCGCTAGTTAGGTCTGTGTAGAAGGTTAACTTTGCGTTCTCAAATTGTATGAGGGTTTTTTCCCAGAGGGCGGTGAGGACCATTGCTTTGTCTGACCCATTTCTGAAGGTAAGTATAATGTCCCTTGTGGCTGTGTCTGGGGCCCTAGCGGGTTTCCGGATCTGGAAAAGATCTGTGGGTGTAATAGATCTAGTTTG